AATTTTTCGAGTATTACATAATTTACCTTATTAGTTTTTATTTTTAGAGATAATTCAATTTTTAATTTTTTTTTTAATTTTGATTTCAAAAAAATAATAATAATAAAATAAAATAAATAATAAAAATTAATTATTTGCTAAGTTGTGCCATTTTTTTTGTAAGATTTTTTTTTTTTTTTTTTTTTTAGACATTATATAGAACATTTTAAAGATTTTAAAAAAAAAAAAAAATGAAAATTTATCAAGTCATAAAATTTAAAATAATAAAATAACATCCCATTTTTATCTTTTTTTTTTTTTTTTTTTTTTTTTTACAAAAAAACTGAATTTACAAAATACGATAAAAATTATTAAAATAATAAAAACTCTTTGTTTGAAAATTAAATAAATTAATTTTTTCATATTTAAAAAAAAGAAAAAAAATTTAATAACAAAAATAAAAATTTTTTTAATTATTTATTTATCTTTTTTTTTTTTTTTGTTTTATTGTTTAAAAGTTATATATTTAATTAATGACATTTTTTTTTCAATGTAAATGAAAGTAACACATAATTGTTAATTATCTTGCGTTTGTTCTTATAGAGAAAATTAATATGTTTTTTAAAAATTTTTAATGAAATATATAAAAAATAATAAATTTTATGTAAATAAAAAAAAAAAAAAAAACTACTTTATATTAAGAAAAATCCCTTATGAGTTATTTATATTAAAAAAAAACTACAAATAAAATTTAATTTGATATTGAAAAAATTAATAATAATTATTATTATTATTGTGTTTCAATAAAACTATTAAATAATACGTTACAAATAAATAAAAATATTACCATTTCATTATGGATAAGTTGAATTTTTGATGTTGGTTTATATATATATATATTATTATTTTATTATTAATTAACAAATCCTTTTTTTTTTTTTGTTCAGTATTACCTTGAATAAAATTTAAGACATAAAACTTTAAATTTTTTTTTAGATTTATTTGATTTTGTTTTAATTGTGGTGCTTATTTTAATTCAATTCAATTTTTCGCCTTTTTTTGTATATTTATATTGTTTTTTAATTATCGTACAATCATCATCAATCATCATCAATAATTGCCATGTTATTAAATTTTTTTTTTTTACACTTAAAATAAATCCATTATTTATATAAATGTACTCGTTACAATCAATTAAATCCTTCAGATTAATAAACAATTTTTTTTTTATTTTCATATAACTAAACTTATATTATTATCCCTAAAAAAAATTCTGATCTTATAATTGCTTTAAAATCGATAATAATTGTACGTAGAACAAATACGACTTGAGATCTATAAATAATATATAAAAAAGTCATTATTTATTTTTCTTTTAAAATTTATTGGAAAAAAAACAAAATCGATTGAACAATTTACCAAACAAGGATTTTTTGTATTTTATAAAGGGAATATAAGGGGGAAAATGATGGAATCCCAAAATTAACATCATGGATTTATTTTTTTTCCCAAAAGAGTTAATCCAATTAAATTTAGGATTTAATGTGTGACAAGATAACTTTAAGTGATTACTAATAAAAAAAAAAATTATTTGGCACTTTTAAATTTTATTTTATACGTTTTTTTATTTTTTTTTATTTATTGTTTTTATATTATAAATGTAATTTTAATAAAATTTTGCATTTTTTTTTTTTTTTTTCAAATATTATCGGTACAAATTAAAGGCAATGAAATTTAAAAAATAAATATAATTAACGATAACAAAATTTAGTATCACATATTTCACTTTAGCAGGTATATAAATTGATTTAAATCAAAAAAAAAAAAAAAAAAAAATAGTTTCAGGCAAATAATAGTCAAATAAATAATTGTTATGAAATTAACATGTCTAGGGCTTTATCTCTATCGCTACCGCTCGCAATTAATGCTTCTTCTGCTTTATCTTCATCGAAACCTAAATCTAATAGCACCATCATTGCTTCTATGTATTTTAAACTTTCATTTATTTTAAAATTATTGATCACCAAGGCTTTTTCTACTAAATCACCGGGATATTTTTTATCTTCTAAACTCTGAACTTGAACTAAAAACTCAATTATCTGAAATTATAAATATATTATTGGAATTAACTAAGATTTCAATCGCTGTAAAAAAAAAAAAAAAAAAAAAAAAAATTATTTATTAATGTTTTTTTACCTTTCTATCATTATTTTGAAACATTTCGCAAGCTCTTGACACTCTCGCCAGTGGGAATCCCATTTCACTTATGTATTGTGCAAGTTTTTGAGAAGAAGGATTTAATTTTAGGGTAGGATCAGGCAGTTTGCTTAAGGCACTATTTTTTTCCGTTCTTTGACAGCTTTCTAAGTGCCCCTCATTATCCTATAAAATTTTTAAAATAATAATAATAATAATAATAATAATAATAATAATAATAATAATAATAATAATAATATAAATACAATTCTAGTAACTCAACGCAATGTCTAATGCATAATTTTTGAATAAAAAGATTTCTTAATTTGGAATTTATTATTATTATTATTATTTTACTTAACATAAAAATTATATATATAAAATAAATTTTTTTTAACCTTAGACTTAGATGACAAAATAGTTTCCTTCAAATAAACTAATTTATGCTTTCTTTTATTTTCTTTTTCTCTTTCTTTGCTTTCCTTTAATTCCATTTCCACTTCAGAAATAATATCATGAACACATTTTGAGTTTTCCTCATTTTTCCCTACTGTATCCATTGAGACTTTCTTATTTTTTTCTGTTGATAAAAAATTTCAATATTAATTATAAAGTTTTGTAGTTGGCTAAATTTTAAATCCCAAAAAAAAAATTTTTTTAGTTTTTTAAACTTATTAAAATTTTTTTTTTTTTTTTTAACTTTCTCACCTAAAATTTTTGGCTCTGGTTTGCTGGCATTTGTAGACCCCTGATCCAAAGCAACAGCAACCTCAAATTGATTTGAAAAATCATTAAGCCCATAATTACTAATTTGATTATGTTCACTATTTGGATAGAAACCAAACTGATTAAAGTCTTTATGATGTGAAGAAAGCACTGAATTATTGTAATCCAAGTTAGAATAAGTAATATTATTGTACCCATTTAAAGGCATACAACCCCACTCGCTAATTTTATTATTCAATACTAAACAATTTTTACCTACATCTTTATCAATTATGCTGTTATTGTTATTTAATGATTGTTCCATATTATTTGCTGATAAAATACTTGCTAAAACCTCCATATCATTTATAGTTTTTAATTCCATATTATCAAAAGGACTTGAATTGTCAGATTCAAAATCTGATAAATTAATATGTGAGGAAACTGACTCATCAGAGGGAGAACTTAATTTAGCACAAGTCGGAGTCAAAACAGAATCGATAAAATTATAATTTTTTAGACTATCTGTCTGCTTCACTCCTTCAGTTTGGGTTGAATCAATAGATACATTATTAAAATGTTCTTCACATACTTTTTTAGGTGCTTTAAGTCTTTCTTTTCTGTTAAGCACTTCTTCTCTCCTTGCACTTCTCCATTCTACCAATTTGTTTAATATATTTTGCTCCAATTTAAAGTCGTACTAAAATAATAGAGGAAAAAACATTTTTAATTAATGAATTCAGTTTAATGTTTTTATTATTTTTCAATTAATAACTGTGATTGTAAAAAAAAAAAAATTAGATTATCTAAACAAAACAGATTATAAAATAAAAATAAAAATACTAATTGATGATTTAATATAACTTACATCTGCAAAGAGTTCTTCCCCTGGACAACTGTTTTGACAACTTACAGGCAAAATTATTTTTCTCGGTGGTTTATATTGCTCTGTAATCTTAACATTAATTCCATCGATAAAAGTATTCGGTTGTAACTTTTCATTTTTTAAACTGTGTTGAAGCATAATTAAATGTGTCTAACTCAACCTACTTTGAAATAAAATTAATTAAAATTAATATTTTGTTATTGACTAGATAAATATTTTTTAAAATAATACTTATTAATATTTGTTTATATTAAAGAGGATTTAAAATTAACCCCGAAAAAAAATTATTGATGTTAATAAATTACTGAATTTCTTTTGTAAAAAGTACCAATATTTTCTGATAAAAATAGACTTTTTAATCGTACAAACACAATATTGAAAGGACGAAAACTTATTAGAATTATTGTCCTGAAATAAGTATCTAATATTAATAACAAAACGGTTTGTAATTTTTGCATCAGACCCATAAAGAATATTAACCTTTTTCTTGCAATGGTTGTCGTAATTTTTTTTTTTAAATCATTTTTTTTTACCCAATGGAAAAATTTTAAAAGAATAATTAGAATTTAGCTTTAATTAAAAAAAAAACTAGCTTTAATTTCAATTCTTTAATTATAAATTTTATTTACCTGTTAATTTGTAAAAAAAATTCAGCAGTAACTTAAAAAGAACTTAACAGACATTTGATTTATCATCATTTTCTACTTTCAGACATTTTTATTTCGAAAAAAAAAAAAAAAAAAATGTCACAAATAATCTAATGCCACTTTCATATTCATGAATTATTTTGTCACTTGAATAAAATCAATATCTTTTCTTTATTTAGATTTTTTTTTCAACAATATAATATAAAATGTTCTCCTCTACCAATATTACGCGGTTGCGTAGTTTTTAATAAATAAATAAATAAAAAATTAAAAATTTACTTATTTCAGGTTAAAAATGTGAGGGTGCCTCTACTTCCTTGTCTACTTACCGTTACACAATTTAACAAAAATCAATAACATTAGGTTACAATAATTGTTTTAGTACAAAAAATAAACAAATATAATAGAATATTTTAATTATTTATTGAATAATACAAGAATTCAATAAATAAAAACTATCATATTGTAACAATATGTCTCTGAGAGAGGAATACAATAAATGTAACGAAAAATATAAATTTCAACAAACTTTACTGGTGTGTCACACACTTAAACTTGACTATAATATTTCATAAATAAAAATATTTATTATTAATAATTGAAAAATATTATAATACAAAACAAAACATCATCAATTAGGAGATAAATGCATTTATGGATTTGCGCACTTTTTTTTTTTTTTTAGTAACATTTATATACCTAATAACAAAAAAACCTTAAGTTTAAATTAAAAATTGTAAAAAAAAATTATTTTTATTACTGAGTATTCTGTTTTTTTTTTTTTTTTTAAAATCACCTTTTCTTTTTTTTTTTTATGATTATAAACGTCACACCTTTTTTTTGAGAGAAATATTAACTGAACAACTGCTATAGTAAATATTCTACAAAAAAAAAAAAAAAAAAAAAAAAAAATGAAGGTTTTGAGTACTTGAAGTAAATTAGGAACGGGGGTAATAAAAAAAGTCTTAAAAATTATTCTACTTCTAAAAAAAAAAAAAAAAAAAAAAATTTAGTTTAAAATTATTTTGAACAGTTTAAAGTATTAATTTTTTTTATCGGTTAAAAATCCATCAATTTTATTTAAATGGTAATATGAAATGCTTATTATTATTATTATTATTATTTTTAAACTATTTAATAAATGGGTTTTAATTAGTTTATTTTTTTCTTAAAACAAACTAATAATAACGACGACGTTTATTTACATATTGAAATTAAAAAAAAAAAAAAAAATTCTTTTTTTTTTGTGAGATAAATCCTACTCTCTGACGTGTATAACTGAATTATTTGACACATAAATTCAAACCATAATAGGGTCTTCTTGTCCATTTTTACCTCCTAAAAAAAAAAAAAAAAAAAAAAAAAAATTAAAATTCATTTTGATTATAATAATTAATAATAATAATAATGAAAAAATATTGCAAACCCGTATCAGTGTCTGGATCATCTAAAGAACCATCATCAACATCTGTCGATAAAAAATCATCATCCGATGTAGTTCGCGTTAAACTTGGTAACACAAAAGTTAGTAAAGCTTTTTCTTTTTGTATTTCTTGAATATGGCCAACTAGTAAAGCTTCTTCGTCTTCGGATTGATAAGTTACACAAGATGTGTTATTGACTGCATGAAAATCTTCTGGATTGTAAGCCTTTGTAAAAAAAAAAAAAAAAAAAAGAAAAAAAATTTAATTTTGTTATGAATAATATTTTTTTTTTCCCAGGTTTTCCAATTTACCTTTGAACTCCTTAATGAAGATAATCTGTGAGTAGCCGTGTGACAAGCCGTGTCTAATGTATCAATATCCGCAAGAGTTGAGCGAACCTTTTTCAATTGTTCACTAATAATTGTTTCTATACACTGAGTTTGTTGTCCTATGTCATGAAGAGAATCTTGCGCGGGAACAACTTTGTTTGTTCGTAAAATGCAAGGTGCAAAAACAATAGCTAAAGCACTTGCATTCATACGATTTGTTTCCTCTTGAGATGCTACCCTAAAAAAAACCAAAAAAAAACAAAAAAATTTAAATTCATACCCGGTTATTTGATTAAATCACGTTAACAAGAAACAATAAAATAGAAATATAATAATAATATAAAAGGTTTTTATCAAAGGCTATTATTACCGTGCTAAATGAAATATTAATCTTTCCATAAGATCAAAATTAGGTTTTGGTAACTTTTTAAGTATAGCAAAAAGGGTCGACACTCTGTCTTGGGGCTCGGTTAAATTAGCGGCTCTTAAAAAATCTTCATAACAATCAAATGTTAAAAGCGGTTCTGGCATTTCCCGAAAAAAACATTTTAAGACACTAGTTAGTACGTGAACTTGATAATTTTCAAAATTTACTAATTCATGATGTCCTTCTTCAATTTTTAGCTTTAATTCTTTCACTTTCGAGCTAACCTAAAATAACAGACCAGAATTAAAAATTAGGTTTTTTTTTTAATGACGAAAAAATTTTTTTCGGATGGATTTGAACTCACCCCCGACTTCCTATAAATTCCCTCAGTGTACAGACCATACATTTCAATGGTGGTTATGAGACGATCAACAACCACCGGGACTTTTCCATCACTAGCTAATTTATGAACCGGAACTCCAAACACTCTTCGACCGGAAACAATTTCTTCATTAAGCTTACATTCTCCCGTTACTTTATTGTAACATTTTTTATGACATGCCATTTTACAATCTAAATAGAATAAAAATTAACAAATAAATGATGTAACAAAATAAATTAAAATTAATTTTTTAAAAAAAAAAAAAAATGATTTACTTTGGCAAACCAAACTTCTTTCTATGGGCCACATAAAAAAACTATTGCACACTTCACAAGCAGTACGAATGTTTATAACGGTCAACATAAAAAAATGACCGTTGAAACTAATATTGTCTTCCATTTTCCATCTTCTTTTTTCCTTGAGTCTTTTCTTATTGTTCGGTTTTTCCATTTCTACCCTAGACAAAGCCATAAATTCGTTCATAAATCCTCTAAAAGCATTAACACCCATAGTAACAGAAAAATCTTCTCGATTATTCTCAGCGTTGCAAACAGTTTTCATTACCTGTAAATGGTTTTTTTTTTTTATTTAATTATGACACAAAATAAAAATTTTTACAATATAATGAAACTAATATAAAATCATACGCGAATAAAATTTCCAATAAGATCTTTATATTTTATATTAAGAGTATCCCCGTGACGATAAGCGACACTATAGGTTGCCACCAAATTGTCTTTAAATTCTCTTAATGCCTGCCTAAAAACTAAATCTACTTCACTTGGTCTTTGCCTTCCTTCTTCGCTTTCTATTTTATAAATCTGAAAAATTTAATAAAAAAAAAAAAAAATTATTATTTTTAAATTATTAATAAATCCAAATGTTACAACAACTCACCTTTTTCGTTATAAAATCTTGCATCTTTTGCAATTCTTTTGCATCAGATATTATTTTATCCGTAGAATCAGTGAATTCAGATGTTCCAGTTAATGAAAATTTTGAAGCCACTGGAGGCTTCGTATCATAAGGCGCTCTAAAAAAAAAAAAAAAAAAGTTAAAATTTTGACATTAGAACAAAGAATTTACACACACACACACACACACACACACACACACACACACACACACACACACACATTTAATTATGTTTTAAATTGAAGTAATTTAAGTAATAATACCAAATTATTTTATTTTAGTTTTTTAAAGAAAAAATTAATTATTTAATATATATATATATATATATATAAATTCCAACCTTGGTTGTTTCCTGTTTTGCTTTCTTTGACAAGGCATTTGAAGAACTCCACCATTTTGAATACATTTCGTATGAAAGAGTTGCTTACATTCTACAATATGTACCACAAAATATTAATTTTTATAAAAATAAGAATAATAATAATAATTATAATTATTTCAAAGACTTACCCGAACATTTGTGACCTTGAGTTACAAAAGCATCCATAGACTT